ATGGCCCTCTATCAGAATCCAGAGTTTTGAGAAGATTGGGGATACTTAATTTTTCGCCCAAAAAAAAAAAAACGTAAGGGGTAACACTGTCGTTTTTTTTTTCGGGTCGAAATTTTGAGTTTCGATATCTCAGCTCTGGAAGGGTCTAGAGCCTCCATTGTTGCACTCAGGTCTAAGTCTCATGGCCCTCTATCAGAATCCAGAGTTTTGAGAAGATTGGGGATACTTAATTTTTCGCCCCCCAAAAAAAAAAAGTAAGGGGTAACACTGTCGTTTTTTTTTTCTGGTCGAAATTTTGATTTTCGATATCTCAGCTCTGGAAGGGTCTAGAGCCTCCATTGTTGCACTCAGGTCTAAGTCTCATGGCCCTCTATCAGAATCCAGAGTTTTGAGAAGATTGGGGATACTTAATTTTTCGCCCAAAAAAAAAACGTAAGGGGTAACACTGTCGTTTTTTTTTCGGGTCGAAATTTTGATTTTCGATATCTCAGCTCTGGAAGGGTCTAGAGCCTCCATTGTTGCACTCAGGTCTAAGTCTCATGGCCCTCTATCAGAATCCAGAGTTTTGAGAAGATTGGGGATACTTAATTTTTCGCCCAAAAAAAAAAAAACGTAAGGGGTAACACTGTCGTTTTTTTTTTTCGGTCGAAATTTTGAGTTTCGATATCTCAGCTCTGGAAGGGTCTAGAGCCTCCATTGTTGCACTCAGGTCTAAGTCTCATGGCCCTCTATCAGAATCCAGAGTTTTGAGAAGATTGGGATACTTAATTTTTCGCCCAAAAAAAAAAACGTAAGGGGTAACACTGTCGTTTTTTTTTGGTCGAAATTTTGAATTTCGATATCTCAGCTCTGGAAGGGTCTAGAGCCTCCATTGTTGCACTCAGGTCTAAGTCTCATGGCCCTCTATCAGAATCCAGAGTTTTGAGAAGATTGGGATACTTAATTTTTCGCCCCAAAAAAAACGTAAGGGGTAACACTGTCGTTTTTTTTTTCTGGTCGAAATTTTGAGTTTCGATATCTCAGCTCTGGAAGGGTCTAGAGCCTCCATTGTTGCACTCAGGTCTAAGTCTCATGGCCCTCTATCAGAATCCAGAGTTTTGAGAAGATTGGGGATACTTAATTTTTCGCCCAAAAAAAAAACGTAAGGGGTAACACTGTCGTTTTTTTTTCTGGTCGAAATTTTGAATTTCGATATCTCAGCTCTGGAAGGGTCTAGAGCCTCCATTGTTGCACTCAGGTCTAAGTCTCATGGCCCTCTATCAGAATCCAGAGTTTTGAGAAGATTGGGGATACTTAATTTTTCGCCCAAAAAAAAAAACGTAAGGGGTAACACTGTCGTTTTTTTTTCTGGTCGAAATTTTGATTTTCGATATCTCAGCTCTGGAAGGGTCTAGAGCCTCCATTGTTGCACTCAGGTCTAAGTCTCATGGCCCTCTATCAGAATCCAGAGTTTTGAGAAGATTGGGGATACTTAATTTTTCGCCCAAAAAAAAAAACGTAAGGGGTAACACTGTCGTTTTTTTTTCTGGTCGAAATTTTGATTTTCGATATCTCAGCTCTGGAAGGGTCTAGAGCCTCCATTGTTGCACTCAGGTCTAAGTCTCATGGCCCTCTATCAGAATCCAGAGTTTTGAGAAGATTGGGATACTTAATTTTTCGCCCCCAAAAAAAACGTAAGGGGTAACACTGTCGTTTTTTTTTTCTGGTCGAAATTTTGAGTTTCGATATCTCAGCTCTGGAAGGGTCTAGAGCCTCCATTGTTGCACTCAGGTCTAAGTCTCATGGCCCTCTATCAGAATCCAGAGTTTTGAGAAGATTGGGGATACTTAATTTTTCGCCCAAAAAAAAAACGTAAGGGGTAACACTGTCTTTTTTTTTTCTGGTCGAAATTTTGAATTTCGATATCTCAGCTCTGGAAGGGTCTAGAGCCTCCATTGTTGCACTCAGGTCTAAGTCTCATGGCCCTCTATCAGAATCCAGAGTTTTGAGAAGATTGGGGATACTTAATTTTTCGCCCAAAAAAAAAAACGTAAGGGGTAACACTGTCGGTTTTTTTTTCTGGTCGAAATTTTGATTTTCGATATCTCAGCTCCAGAAGGGTCTAGAGCCTCCATTTTTGCACTCAGGTCTAAGTCTCATGGCCCTCTATCAGAATCCAGAGTTTTGAGAAGATTAGGGATTCTTAATTTTTCGCCCCCAAAAAAAAAACGTAAGGGGTAACACTGTTGTTTTTTTTACGGGTCGAAATTTTGATTTTTGATATCTCAGCTCTGGAAGGGTCTAGAGCCTCCATTGTTGCACTCAGGTCTAAGTCTCATGGCCCTCTATCAGAATCCAGAGTTTTGAGAAGATTGGGGATACTTATTTTTTGCCCCCCCCCCCAAAAAAAAACGTAAGGGGTAACACTGTCGTTTTTTTTACGGGTCGAAATTTTGATTTTCGAAATCTCAGCTCTGGAAGGGTTTAGAGCCTCCATTGTTGCACTCAGGTCTATGTCTCATGGCCCTCTATCAGAATCCAGAGTTTTGAGAAGATTGGGGATACTTAATTTTTCGCCCAAAAAAAAAACGTAAGGGGTAACACTGTCATTTTTTTTTTCTGGTCGAAATTTTGATTTTCGATATCTCAGCTCTGGAAGGGTTTAGAGCCTCCATTGTTGCACTCAGGTCTAAGTCTCATGGCCCTCTATCGGAATCCAGGGTTTTGAGAAGATTAGGGATTCTTAATTTTTCGCCCAAAAAAAAAAACGTAAAGGGTAACAATGTCGTTTTTTTTTTCGGGTCGAAATTTTGAGTTTCGACATCTCAGCTCTGGAAGGGTCTAGAGCCTCCATTGTTGCACTCAGGTCTATGTCTCATGGCCCTCTATCAGAATCCATAGTTTTGAGAAGATTGGGGATACTTAATTTTTCGCCCCCCAAAAAAAACGTAAGGGGTAACACTGTCGTTTTTTTTTCGGGTCGAAATTTTGAGTTTCGATATCTCAGCTCTGGAAGGGTCTAGAGCCTCCATTGTTGCACTCAGGTCTAAGTCTCATGGCCCTCTATCAGAATCCAGAGTTTTGAGAAGATTGGGGATACTTAATTTTTCACCCCCCCAAAAAAACGTAAGGGGTAACACTGTCGTTTTTTTTTTTCGGGTCGAACTTTTGATTTTCGATATCTCAGCTCTGGGAGGGTCTAGAGCCTCCATTGTTGCACTCAGGTCTAAGTCTCCTGGCCCTCTATCAGAATCCAGAGTTTTGAGAAGATTGGTGATACTTAATTTTTCGCCCAAAAAAAAAAAAAACCTAAGGGGTAACACTGTCGTTTTTTTTTCTGGTCGAAATTTTGAATTTCAATATCTCAGCTCTGGAAGGGTCTAGAGCCTCCATTGTTGCACTCAGGTCTATGTCTCATGGCCCTCTATCAGAATCCAGAGTTTTGAGAAGATTGGGGATACTTAATTTTTCGCCCAAAAAAAAAAAAAAACCTAAGGGGTAACACTGTCGTTTTTTTTTCTGGTCGAAATTTTTAATTTTGATATCTCAGCTCTGGAAGGGTCTAGAGCCTCCATTTTTGCACTCAGGTCTTAGGCTCACGGCCCTCTATCAGAATCCAGAGTTTTGAGAAGTTTTTTGGATACTTAAAGGGCATATTGCAGGTTAGAGGACCCAACGAGTCAATGTATAGAAAAATAATGTAGGAACTAGATTTTCTTTAAAATATTCGTACAAATATGCTACAGAAGTTTCTAGAGCCGTTTTTGTGAGAAAATTTTACTTCCGCATCTGAAAATGGGCGTGGCGGGCGTGACGTAACTAGCGGGAGAGCGCCAGTGGCTGATTCAAACCGCAAAACAATGGATCGCAGTGATATTTCAGACGCTGAAGAAATTGTTCATATTTACTCGTATGACGGACCACAGCCGTACAATTATGAGCCTGCTATGCTGCCAAGAGATCAGGAACAGGCCAGGATTAATGTTAGACAGAACGGTCAGAGGAGACAAATTGAGTTGTGGTGTGAGGAGAACCAGTGGAGAACAGGACAGGTGTCTTGGTGAGAGAGAACAGTGTTAGCTTAGATAAATTCACAATCGCTAACGATATACACTGTGCTCATAATATTGATTATTACAATCATATATTAGTTAGCAAAGCTTTTATTGGTCATTTAGGATTATTGGAAAGTACCAAAACAGAAACTAATAGGCTTTTATCAGGCATATGTCATGCTCCTATCCGACTAACGTTACATGATAACTTAACAGTTTCTCATCAAGAGAGATATATATTTTTTTCCTGATAGACGTTTTTGTTCCATAGGTGCTTGTGTGGGAAATGCGAGGCAATGTTCTCAGCTGAGGAAAGTCAGTGCTGCAGGGAGGTGGATGCATACTGGGCTTTAGTGGAAAATGTCACCCCCAGACTTGATGTGCAGTGCCTGACTCTGCACCCAGGCTTTGAGGCTTGCTGTTTGAACCCATATGTGCTACAGATAGCCTATATGCACTTCAGACAGGACCATGGACCTCTCCAGGCCAGCAGACATGAGTATGTTTAGGGTAGATGTACTATTAAATGTATAAAAAGTAACTGTACTTGAGTATTTTTTTTATTGTACTAAAAACATACTCAAGTACATTTTTAATACATATTTTTCACCTGGGTTATAACATGAACAAACTTAAAGATTAGAATATTTAAACAATCTATTGATACAAGTATTTTTATTTTTTTTTAAATTACAAGTTGCCTCTATTTAGGGCATGACTACCATTGGTATAAGATGATCAATATTGATATTTTGTCCATATCTTCAGGCAATACCGCTACACTGCATACAGGCAGGTTGTCCGCTGGGCCTATGGCATTCTGGGCAGGCACATCAGGAAGCCCCCTGCATGTGTTGTGTCAGCCATTAGAGGGCAGTTTCCAGAGGAAGGAGGACTTTATAAAGGTTTTGAATGGCCCAATTTTGTTGACAATCAATAGAAAATAAACAATCACAAATTGTCTCTATAAAACTTTTTTATTATCATATATACAATTAAATAATATCTCAGGTATCATACTAAGGTGTAATTAACGTGTTAAATCGTGAATGCTGTGATAGATACACGCCAACAGCCTCATCCTTGTTGATCCTCTGGTGGGATCTGGAAAGGGGAGCAGGTGTAGAGGAAGACAAAACTGCACTGCGTTCTCGTAGAGCCTGTGGTGACCTAGAGTATTCCTCTCTCAGAGACTCCATGAGGGCTGATGCATATGCTGGGAGAAATATATTCACATTCATTTGCCAACTCGTGGTCTGACTTAATATTTAGGAACTAGGGGTGTAACGATTATCAAAACTTACAGTACGGTTCTTCCATGGTTTTGACGTCTCGGTTCGGTTTAGAAAGCTAAAATTTATTTTTTTGTTTTTTAGTTGTTGTTGTTGTTTTTTTTAAACAGTGGTTTAATGAAAATATTGTATCTTTGTCTTTAAATTAATTAAATTACAATTAAACGTTTTGCAAGGATTAAAAAAAATTTGCTATGCTGTATAATTATATGGGAGCCGCACTTTACTATAAGATGAAAAGGTTGACAACAGAGCCTAGACTTCTAGCCTAAATTCAGATGCTATTTATTTTTAAGATATAATAATCAACACACAACACGTATGAAAACATGTAAACAGAATGTAAGGCAGTTTTTGCATTAACTTGTGCAAATTTGTTATTGAAATACAATAATTTACACAGTTCTACCAGAAAGACTTGGGAGATAAGATACTGTACGATATAACATTTTATTAACAGCCCAGCAAGCCATATATGCAATAAAAGTTCTTTGGCGTAGGCCCCGTCTGTAACTCGCGATCCGAGGGTATGGATTCGGCATATCCTGCCTGAAGATGAAGGCAGGGGCGCAGCCGACCCCCCCTTGGAGTTTTGGAAGGGACCGACCTGGTGGTGGTGGTGGGAAGGATGGAGCGAAGACCGTCTTGGTGGAGGTGGGGAGGATGGTGGTAAGTGAAGCGTCAGCATCTGCGAACTCAGACAAGTGTAAGTAAGGGTCTTTTATACTTCACTTATTAGAACGCGATTGGATAGATGAGAAGGTAATAATGACGTGACAATTGAGTCTTCCTGGCAGAACTTGCGCTACACTTTCATTTGCTGTCATTTTCATGAAAGATATTTTAAATATACATTAAATAATCAAGATTAACAGGTTAGGTAAAATATAATATATAGGCTAATATAGTGCATTTATTTAGTGCAAGAGTTCATTTATAGGAACCAACAAGTTGCGGACACTGAATCACTTGCCTGTTGAGGTAAATATTATGCTAGTGACAAGCTATGCTGTTTTATAGACGTCTTTCCGCTGCTGAAACAGTGATTGAGCGATTACACGAGTTATGATGCCTTTCAGTAAGTTAACTGCATCTTTCAAGTCAACATACCTTCAGGTGTCTATTCATGTTTATTCTGTAACTGAGGAAGAGATGATTGCGTTTACTCGTGCTCTGCGCTGCCGCATGAAATGAGGATCTAGTACAGCGATCTGTCACGCCACATCAAAGAGAGCCAAAAGTCCAAAACACCATTTATTGTTAGAATTTCGTGATCAAATAGACAGAATTAGAAAGATTACACCTTGCTTATTATTATTGGTGGTAAGGCTAACTGAATTCGTTGTGTACACATAAGACATGAGGTCCATTGTGCGGGGCTGGTGTAGCAGAGGGGGCGTGTTCGGAATTCTATGAGATTATCGCGATTCGAATTGTGGATTCCGTATCACGGTCTTTCGGTTTGGTTCGAATATCGTTACACCCTTATTAGGAACTGACTGAAACTGCCCACCATATAATGGCTTTTCCTTTACAGGACGGACTACCCAGCCACCTTTGCGGAACCTTGGGTAGCGAACCGCATAACATGCCTCACCATCACTGGTTCGAGCTACCTCTCTGCTGCCATTGTGGTTGAAATGCAGGGCTGCCAAGAGAAGTCTGTAGAAAAAGTGTAATTTGTACCCATTACAAGTTATGCATATGTGAATAAACCCAGAAGTAAAAACAACACATATATATAAAAAAAACATAAAAGTATTGCTTACTAACACATTTAAAGAAAGTTGGGCTGCTGTGTTAGACTGCATTAGTTTCAGAAAGTACTCATTCTTTCACATCACACACTTTACCTGCTGTGCATCCCAAGGAAGGAGAACCCAGTGTGCTTCGGTGCAAAGTGCAGGATCAGGGAGTGAAATGCCTCCAGTGAAAAAGTCTGATGCTGTGGGGACAACTGCCGAACATCCTTTACCAGCGCTGTTCTAGTAGCTACACTCTCCAGTTTAACTGCTACAGTTGATCCTGCATAAACACACATAAACGCACATCTTGTTATTAAGATGAGTCATGATTGGACGATCACAATTAGGTGGGATTTGTATCACATATTGTTCATGTTTTTTTTGTTTGTTTTTTGGCTCTTAAAATGATTATTTGGTGCGCTAACACTGAATAGTATGAGAATCAAGAGTATGTGAGAAATATCCAGATGCATTCAAAACATTTGTTAAAAAAAGCATGTTAAAAATCCTGTTTCGAAACAAAAGCACCTCTCGTTCATATTATCTTCATTGTGTTATTAGTTAATCCGGTTTGTTTATTTTGTAACGCGGCTAGCTTGAGAGTTGCTACGACATCTCAGAAATGGCAAACCCTTATTTGGAAAAACAAGCACAATGAACATTCACTATACATTTTCAGCCACATAATAAACAGTATTTTGTACCTGGTTCCAGCCACTCCTTGTTCCTTGCTTCACCCTCCAGAGGTGGATGTGCACAGCAGGGAAATGTAGCAGTGCCATGTTCGTGGATGTCCTGAACATGGTTGACCATGCTTCTCCACTTGGCCTCCATCACATCTGCATCTCCATTAGGGGTGGAAGCTGCAGTCCAGTAGAGATGGTTAATAATAGCTGGCCTCCACAGCTTCAGATCTTCACACTCCCTCTCCTTTGCAGCAGCATCCAATGCTTTCCCTAGGCCTGTTTTAGAACAGAAACACAAAATATTAAAAAGGAAAATGTAATTATAGACAATCTAAACAAAACTACTTTCTTTAAGCAACATACTTTTGCCAATATGCCAAATATCAAAGAAATGGCTTGTTCCTTTGGGACACAACTCCTCCCGTACAAACTTGGCAACCTGAAATTTTGAAAAAGAACATTTGATTTTAGTTGTAAATATAGTCAGCAGGAATATTTTAGATGTGTACATGTGCGTTTCTTTACCTGCCGATTTCTGTCTGTGATGAGGGCAGACACTTGCATATGTTGCTGAGTCAGAAAGTTTATGCTGCGCTTTAGGCCCTCTAACTCACACCAGGTGCTACTTGGGACCTCGGAGCTCTGTAAATAAAAATAAAAATAAAAAAAAACATTTGGTCATCTCACTGTGTAACATTAGACAGGTGATAAGTGTGTTTGATAACAAACTTACCTGGACAAGTTGAAGATCTAAAACCTTATTAATCCTGTCCTCAATCAAAGAGTATGTGCCATATTTTGCACAATGGCCAGGTGAATCTGACCTATATATGTCAAAAACAGTTTAATTTATGGTTAAGCACTGAAACTAATACATTAAACTCGATTATCCAGTTTAGACTTGTTTTCTATTTTAATGATATAAACTGAAGTGTGCTACCTGCAGTCACCAGACAGGATCAGTCCCCCCATCATCTCTTTCAGATCTCTGATGATCGCTGCCTGTTCATTCTGCCACGCCTGCACGATGGTTGGAATCGTGTAAAAGCGCTGATGGCGGAAGAAGGTGCTGACACTGATGCTCTGAAGCCCAAACAGCTTCAACATACGGATGGTCTGGGTAGCCATGCAACCTGAAAAGTGGATGGCCCCACTCAGTAATAGGTTGCAGGCCGGCATATTTCGATGCAGCATTGGCTGGTTCTGCCAAAAACGCTGATACCCACATGCTGCACAGACCTAAGAGATGTGAAAGGCAGAAAATGACTATACCATACAAATAACTTAGTGTAATAATTAAAGCAAAATAAACAAGTTATGTTACAATTTAATTTTCTACCAGAAATCACAAATAGCTTCTTACTTGCTTTATTTTTTACAAAAGTTCCCTCCTGCTTCTCAACATTGCCTTGGGTTTCCCCAGAACAGGCTGGGCAAATGGTAAAGAGAGACATCAGCTGGCTTTGGCACACAATGAACTTGTCAGCAGCACTGAAAAAAACAAAACAATAAACATTATTTTTGACTTGACACAATATGATCATAGAAAATCTCAAATTAAAAAGTCTTACTTGAGGTCAGGGTGAGATTCCTGCTGTGGTTCCTCATCAGATGAATCACTTCTCATTTCCCCCTCTGGGAACCATGGCATATCACCAGGTTTGTCCATGAAAACAGAGGATTCATCATCACTATGCACAGGACTGGGCAGTGGAGTTGATGTTGGTTTCTCAAACATTTCTGTCTGAGTCCCCACACTGACCATCTTGGGTTGTGCCTGGACAGCTAAAATCAAAATATGTCCACTGTCATACAATTGTCATACAAACAGCATGTCACTGCTCAGGTACCTGCATCATAAAATATTTTACTAATTATTTGCTCTCATAGATTATGTAAACAGATGTTGCCATGTACAATTAATTCTAGATATGAGTAATGTTAATGCACCTGATGAACGATGTGAAGGTCTGAGGTCACACTGTGAGCCACAGTGAAGCACAGATGATTGAGGGGCCAGTGGAGAGAAAGGCTCTTGTGCTGGGTCAGACACAAGCACCGCAGCACTGGCTGAAGATGCATCTCCCCCTTCATCACATGGATTTAGAAGCCGATGCGGAAGAAAAATCCCGTCTCTTCACCTGCACAAACCTCACCCAGGCACGAAAGACAGCACCGTCCTTCTTCTTGTCAGGAAATCTGTGGACTCGATGTCCTGACAGGCCGGAGTTTTTGCAACCTCCACAAACACAATAATTTACCATGACGATGATAAATTAAAATACAATAACTACCGAAAACAAACTTACTTACGACCGCTCTCACTGAATACCAACCTACTCTGCACTGAACCGAGGGCGGGTGGCGGCTCCCTAACATGACGTAAAATGACGCGCTGTTGAAAAAAAAGCCGTTTTTACAAGCAGTCCAAGAAACGCTCACTTTATCTACAAAATTAGTGCCCTTATGTCGTTTTAAAACGTTTTAAATCCTGCATTTAATTTTCATATGGTATTTTCATACAAGCTTATATATTCATTTCGATTTTTTTTTTTACCTGCAATATGCTCTTTAATTTTTCGCCCAAAAAAAAAACCGTAAGGGGTAACACTGTCGTTTTTTTTTTTCTGGTCGAAATTTTGAATTTCGATATCTCAGCTCTGGAAGGGTCTAGAGCCTCCATTGTTGCACTCAGGTCTATGTCTCATGGCCGTCTATCAGAATCCAGAGTTTTTAGAAGATTGGGGATACTTAATTTTTCGCCCAAAAAAAAAAACGTAAGGGGTAACACTGTCGTTTTTTTTTTCTGGTCGAAATTTTTATTTTCGATATCTCAGCTCTGGAAGGGTCTAGAGCCTCCATTGTTGCACTCAGGTCTAAGTCTCATGGCCCTCTATCAGAATTCAGAGTTTTGAGAAGATTGGGGATACTTAATTTTTCGCCCCCCCCAAAAAACCTAAGGGGTAACACTGTCGTTTTTTTTTTCCGGTCGAAATTTTGAGTTTCGATATCTCAGCTCTGAAAGGGTCTAGAGCCTCCATTGTTGCACTCAGGTCTAAGTCTCATGGCCCTCTATCAGAATCAAGAGTTTTGAGAAGATTAGGGATACTTAATTTTTCGCCCCCCCAAAAAAAACGTATGGGGTAACACTGTCGTTTTTTTTACGGGTCGAAATTTTGATTTTCGATATCTCAGCTCTGGAAGGGTCTAGAGCCTCCATTGTTGCACTCAGGTCTAAGTCTCATGGCCCTCTATCAGAATCCAGAGTTTTGAGAAGATTGGGGATACTTAATTTTTCGCCCCAAAAAAAAACGTAAGGGGTAACACTGTCGTTTTTTTTTTCTGGTCGAAATTTTGAATTTCGATATCTCAGCTCTGGAAGGGTCTAGAGCCTCCATTGTTGCACTCAGGTCTAAGTCTCATGGCCCTCTATCAGAATCCAGAGTTTTGAGAAGATTGGGGATACTTAATTTTTCGCCCAAAAAAAAAAAAAAACGTAAGGGGTAACACTGTCGTTTTTTTTTCGGGTCGAAATTTTGAGTTTAGATATCTCAGCACTGGAAGGGTCTAGAGCCTCCATTGTTGCACTCAGGTCTATGTCTCATGGCCCTCTATCAGAATCCAGAGTTTTGAGAAGATTGGGGATACTTAATTTTTCGCCCCAAAAAAAACGTAAGGGGTAACACTGTCGTTTTTTTTTTCTGGTCGAATTTTTTAATTTTGATATCTCAGCTCTGGAAGGGTCTAGAGCCTCCATTTTTGCACTCAGGTCAAAGGCTCACGGCCCTCTATCAGAATCCAGAGTTTTGAGAAGTTTGGGGATACTTAATTTTTCGCCCAAAAAAAAAACCCGTAAGGGGTAACACTGTCGTTTTTTTTTTCTGGTCGAAATTTTGAATTTCGATATCTCAGCTCTGGAAGGGTTTAGAGCCTCAATTGTTGCACTCAGGTCTATGTCTCATGGCCGTCTATCAGAATCCAGAGTTTTGAGAAGATTGGGATACTTAATTTTTCGCCCAAAAAAAAAAAACGTAAGGGGTAACACTGTCGTTTTTTTTTCTGGTCGAAATTTTGATTTTCGATATCTCAGCTCTGGAAGGGTCTAGAGCCTCCATTGTTGCACTCAGGTCTAAGTCTCATGGCCCTCTATCAGAATCCAGAGTTTTGAGAAGATTGGGGATACTTAATTTTTCGCCCAAAAAAAAAAAACGTAAGGGGTAACACTGTCGTTTTTTTTTCTGGTCGAAATTTTGATTTTCGATATCTCAGCTCTGGAAGGGTCTAGAGCCTCCATTTTTGCACTCAGGTCTAAGTCTCATGGCCCTCTATCAGAATCCAGAGTTTTGAGAAGATTGGGGATACTTAATTTTTCGCCCAAAAAAAAAAAACGTAAGGGGTAACACTGTCGTTTTTTTTTCGGGTCGAAATTTTGATTTTCGATATCTCAGCTCTGGAAGGGTCTAGAGCCTCCATTTTTGCACTCAGGTCTAAGTCTCATGGCCCTCTATCAGAATCCAGAGTTTTGAGAAGATTGGGGATACTTATTTTTTCCCCCCCAAAAAAAAAACGTAAGGGGTAACACTGTCGTTTTTTTTTCGGGTCGAAATTTTGATTTTCGATATCTCAGCTCTGGAAGGGTCTAGAGCCTCCATTTTTGCACTCAGGTCTAAGTCTCATGGCCCTCTATCAGAATCCAGAGTTTTGAGAAGATTGGGGATACTTAATTTTTCGCCCAAAAAAAAAAAAACGTAAGGGGTAACACTGTCGTTTTTTTTTCGGGTCGAAATTTTGATTTTCGATATCTCAGCTCTGGAAGGGTCTAGAGCCTCCATTGTTGCACTCAGGTCTAAGTCTCATGGCCCTCTATCAGAATCCAGAGTTTTGAGAAGATTGGGGATACTTAATTTTTCGCCCCCCCAAAAAAAACGTAAGGGGTAACACTGTCGTTTTTTTTTCGGGTCGAAATTTTGATTTTCGATATCTCAGCTCTGGAAGGGTCTAGAGCCTCCATTTTTGCACTCAGGTCTAAGTCTCATGGCCCTCTATCAGAATCCAGAGTTTTGAGAAGATTGGGGATACTTAATTTTTCGCCCCAAAAAAAAAAACGTAAGGGGTAACACTGTCGTTTTTTTTTCTGGTCGAAATTTTGAATTTCGATATCTCAGCTCTGGAAGGGTCTAGAGCCTCCATTTTTGCACTCAGGTCTAAGTCTCATGGCCCTCTATCAGAATCCAGAGTTTTGAGAAGATTGGGGATACTTAATTTTTCGCCCAAAAAAAAAAAAACGTAAGGGGTAACACTGTCGTTTTTTTTTCGGGTCGAAATTTTGAGTTTCGATATCTCAGCTCTGGAAGGGTCTAGAGCCTCCATTGTTTGCACTCAGGTCTAAGTCTCATGGCCCTCTATCAGAATCCAGAGTTTTGAGAAGATTGGGGATACTTAATTTTTCGCCCCAAAAAAAAACGTAAGGGGTAACACTGTCGTTTTTTTTTCTGGTCGAATTTTTGATTTCGATATCTCAGCTCTGGAAGGGTCTAGAGCCTCCATTTTTGCACTCAGGTCTAAGTCTCATGGCCCTCTATCAGAATCCAGAGTTTTGAGAAGATTGGGAACTTAATTTTTCGCCCAAAAAAAAAAACGTAAGGGGTAACACTGTCGTTTTTTTTTTCGGGTCGAAATTTTGAGTTTCGATATCTCAGCTCTGGAAGGGTCTAGAGCCTCCATTGTTGCACTCAGGTCTAAGTCTCATGGCCCTCTATCAGAATCCAGAGTTTTGAGAAGATTGGGAAACTTAATTTTTCGCCCAAAAAAAAAAACGTAAGGGGTAACACTGTCGTTTTTTTTTCGGGTCGAAATTTTGAGTTTCGATATCTCAGCTCTGGAAGGGTCTAGAGCCTCCATTTTTGCACTCAGGTCTAAGTCTCATGGCCCTCTATCAGAATCCAGAGTTTTGAGAAGATTGGGGATACTTAATTTTTCGCCCAAAAAAAAAAAACGTAAGGGGTAACACTGTCGTTTTTTTTTCTGGTCGAAATTTTGATTTTCGATATCTCAGCTCTGGAAGGGTCTAGAGCCTCCATTTTTGCACTCAGGTCTAAGTCTCATGGCCCTCTATCAGAATCCAGAGTTTTGAGAAGATTGGGAAACTTAATTTTTCGCCCAAAAAAAAAAAACGTAAGGGTAACACTGTCGTTTTTTTTTCGGGTCGAAATTTTGAGTTTCGATATCTCAGCTCTGGAAGGGTCTAGAGCCTCCATTTTTGCACTCAGGTCTAAGTCTCATGGCCCTCTATCAGAATCCAGAGTTTTGAGAAGATTGGGGAAACTTAATTTTTCCCCCCAAAAAAAAAAACGTAAGGGGTAACACTGTCGTTTTTTTTTCGGGTCGAAATTTTGAGTTTCGATATCTCAGCTCTGGAAGGGTCTAGAGCCTCCATTGTTGCACTCAGGTCTAAGTCTCATGGCCCTCTATCAGAATCCAGAGTTTTGAGAAGATTGGGAAACTTAATTTTTCGCCCAAAAAAAAAAAAACGTAAGGGGTAACACTGTCGTTTTTTTTTCGGGTCGAAATTTTGATTTTCGATATCTCAGCTCTGGAAGGGTCTAGAGCCTCCATTTTTGCACTCAGGTCTAAGTCTCATGGCCCTCTATCAGAATCCAGAGTTTTGAGAAGATTGGGAAACTTAATTTTTCGCCCCAAAAAAAAACGTAAGGGGTAACACTGTCGTTTTTTTTTCGGGTCGAAATTTTGATTTTCGATATCTCAGCTCTGGAAGGGTCTAGAGCCTCCATTTTTGCACTCAGGTCTAAGTCTCATGGCCCTCTATCAGAATCCAGAGTTTTGAGAAGATTGGGGAAACTTTATTTTTCGCCCCAAAAAAAAAAACGTAAGGGGTAACACTGTCGTTTTTTTTTTCGGGTCGAAATTTTGAATTTCGATATCTCAGCTCTGGAAGGGTCTAGAGCCTCCATTTTTGCACTCAGGTCTAAGTCTCATGGCCCTCTATCAGAATCCAGAGTTTTGAGAAGATTGGGAAACTTAATTTTTCGCCCAAAAAAAAAAAAAACGTAAGGGGTAACACTGTCGTTTTTTTTTTCGGGTCGAAATTTTGAGTTTCGATATCTCAGCTCTGGAAGGGTCTAGAGCCTCCATTTTTGCACTCAGGTCTAAGTCTCATGGCCCTCTATCAGAATCCAGAGTTTTGAGAAGATTGGGGAAACTTAATTTTTCGCCCCCAAAAAAAACGTAAGGGGTAACACTGTCGTTTTTTTTTTCGGGTCGAATTTTTGAATTTCGATATCTCAGCTCTGGAAGGGTCTAGAGCCTCCATTTTTGCACTCAGGTCTAAGTCTCATGGCCCTCTATCAGAATCCAGAGTTTTGAGAAGATTGGGAAACTTAATTTTTCGCCCCAAAAAAAAAAACCGTAAGGGGTAACACTGTCGTTTTTTTTTTCGGGTCGAAATTTTGAATTTCGATATCTCAGCTCTGGAAGGGTCTAGAGCCTCCATTTTTGCACTCAGGTCTAAGTCTCATGGCCCTCTATCAGAATCCAGAGTTTTGAGAAGATTGGAGAAACTTAATTTTTCGCCCAAAAAAAAAAACGTAAGGGGTAACACTGTCGTTTTTTTTTCGGGTCGAAATTTTGATTTTCGATATCTCAGCTCTGGAAGGGTCTAGAGCCTCCATTTTTGCACTCAGGTCTAAGTCTCATGGCCCTCTATCAGAATCCAGAGTTTTGAGAAGATTGGGAAACTTAATTTTTCGCCCAAAAAAAAAAACGTAAGGGTAACACTGTCGTTTTTTTTTCGGGTCGAAATTTTGATTTTCGATATCTCAGCTCTGGAAGGGTCTAGAGCCTCCATTTTTGCACTCAGGTCTAAGTCTCATGGCCCTCTATCAGAATCCAGAGTTTTGAGAAGATTGGAGAAACTTAATTTTTCGCCCAAAAAAAAAAAAACGTAAGGGGTAACACTGTCGTTTTTTTTTCGGGTCGAAATTTTGAGTTTCGATATCTCAGCTCTGGAAGGGTCTAGAGCCTCCATTTTTGCACTCAGGTCTAAGTCTCATGGCCCTCTATCAGAATCCAGAGTTTTGAGAAGATTGGGAAACTTATTTTTCCCCCCAAAAAAAAAAAACGTAAGGGGTAACACTGTCGTTTTTTTTCGGGTCGAAATTTTGATTTTCGATATCTCAGCTCTGGAAGGGTCTAGAGCCTCCATTTTTGCACTCAGGTCTAAGTCTCATGGCCCTCTATCAGAATCCAGAGTTTTGAGAAGATTGGGAAACTTAATTTTTCGCCCAAAAAAAAAAAAAAACGTAAGGGGTAACACTGTCGTTTTTTTTTCGGTCGAAATTTTGATTTTCGATATCTCAGCTCTGGAAGGGTCTAGAGCCTCCATTTTTGCACTCAGGTCTAAGTCTCATGGCCCTCTATCAGAATCCAGAGTTTTGAGAAGATTGGGGATACTTAATTTTTCGCCCCAAAAAAAAACGTAAGGGGTAACACTGTCGTTTTTTTTTCGGGTCGAAATTTTGAGTTTCGATATCTCAGCTCTGGAAGGGTCTAGAGCCTCCATTTTTGCACTCAGGTCAAAGTCTCACAGCCCTCTATCATAATCCAGAGTTTTGAGAAGATTGGAGAAACTTAATTTTTCGCCCAAAAATGAAAAAAAACGAAAGGGGTAACACTGTCGTTTTTTTTTTCGGGTCGAAATTTTGAGTTTCGATATCTCAGCTCTGGAAGGGTCTAGAGCCTCCATTTTTGCACTCAGGTCAAAGTCTCACAGCCCTCTATCATAATCCAGAGTTTTGAGAAGATTGGAGAAACTTAATTTTTCGCCCAAAATGAAAAAAAACGTAAGGGGTAACACTGTCGTTTTTTTTTCGGGTCGAAATTTTGAAGTTTCGATATCTCAGCTCTGGAAGGGTCTAGAGCCTCCATTTTTGCACTCAGGTCAAAGTCTCACAGCCCTCTATCATAATCCAGAGTTTTGAGAAGATTGGAGAAACTTAATTTTTCGCCCAAAAATGAAAAAAAACAAAAGGGGTAACACTGTCGTTTTTTTTTCGGGTCGAAATTTTGAAGTTTCGATATCTCAGCTCTGGAAGGGTCTAGAGCCTCCATTTTTGCACTCAGGTCAAAGTCTCACAGCCCTCTATCATAATCCAGAGTTTTGAGAAGATTGGAGAAACTTAATTTTTCGCCCAAAATGAAAAAAAACGAAAGGGGTAACACTGTCGTTTTTTTTTTCGGGTCGAAATTTTGAGTTTGATATCTCAGCTCTGGAGGGTCTAGAGCCTCCATTTTTGCACTCAGGTCAAAGTCTCACAGCCCTCTATCATAATCCAGAGTTTTGAGAAGATTGGAGAAACTTAATTTTTCGCCCAAAAAAAAAAAACGTAAGGGGTAACACTGTCGTTTTTTTTCGGGTCGAAATTTTGAAGTTTCGATATCTCAGCTCTGGAAGGGTCTAGAGCCTCCATTTTTGCACTCAGGTCAAAGTCTCACAGCCCTCTATCATAATCCAGAGTTTTGAGAAGATTGGAGAAACTTAATTTTTCGCCCAAAAA